GTTGCACACGGGAACGGCTTTTGACCGCTGTGCGCCAGTTCATGGTCTCGCAATATAGCCTTGCGGACAAAACTCTTGCCACACTGTCCGCAGCCGAACTTTGCGTGGCTGGGTGTCGCTGGCTTCAATTCCTTGAAGATCTGGGCTTTCATCTCGGCGTCTGGATGGAAGTTGTGCATGTGATTTTCGAGGTCTTTCTTCGTTCCGAATCCCATGTCGGCCTCGTCGCAATCTTCTGCCGTGCACTGATATGGTCGTTCGTGTCTGCCCACATGCTTGTCTCTCGTTCTCCCATCGGTAAACCCTTCGTGGAAGTAGAAGCAAGTGGGCTTCGAGCATCGGAAAAACTTGGAACCGTAGTATGATTTCAGTCGCTCATGGGCTTCCGCCCGCAAACCTTTGTCTGTAGAGAGCTCCTCCAGCAACTTCCGAATGCTGACCATCGCAGTTTTCAGCCTGTCTAAACTGATTTCGTTGCGTTTGTCAAAGTCTCTGGTCCGATGCAGTTCGACGTGACACCACAATGACCGAAATCCATCTTGCGCGCCTTCAAAATCCGTAAGTAGGCGGCAGACCTCGGGCTTCAGCCTGGCTTTCAGTTGCGACGCTTCGGTCTCAGCATGACTGCTTCGAAGATCGTCCGCACACTCCCGAACCATGTTCTCCACTGCGCCACAGAGCTCCTGTACCACAGCTTCGTACGTGTCAGATTGCATTGCGTCGACTTGACTGGCAAATTGACCGAGTATCTTGTCGAAGTGATAGCTCCATTTAGCAACTGCATAGTCCGCAAAAGCATAAGACCCGTTGAGTACGTTTTCCACCTTGGCACCTCCGTCAAAGTGGCGGAAAGCGAGGTACTCCAGACACAAGCTCGCAAGTCTGGATTCCACGGCCAGAAGGTCGACATGCTTCGTCACCGTGATGAATCTAACCACCAGAGTTAGATCAAACCGAGAAGGATTATCAAGGTAATACAAAAGTGATGCCAGAAATCCTCAAGCACACCAATCCTGTCAAACGTACCTCTTGGCGGTGCTATGCACGAGAATCACGCGGTCCCGATACACAGCGACCAATGGCCCGCACAGATCCTGGGCTGTCTCTAGGAGTCGACGTCTTTCGAGGTCTACTTCCCGCTTGTCGACGGATATTGCCATCGCACCTTGAATTTCGCGCCACTTGAGCGGTCGAGCGGCGCAAGTCAACCACCCCAAAAGTTGTTGTGCATCGTCCCATTTGCCGTCAGAACGCCGCAGCTTGATCCGTTCGATAATGCGATCGTACCTATCGACGCTCTCCCGTCAGCACAGAGACAGGAGCGTCTTTGAAGGATGTAGATGTTTGCTGTCAATGGCGAGCAGCATACGTCTACAAGCCACAAAGCATCGGAATGGTTGATACCTACGCCTCTTCCAACTTCTTCGGAAAATGCTCCACCTGAACTTCATGCTCAAAATCTTCAATGTTCTTTTGTTGGAGAAGGTGTTCCATCACCAGTTTGGCGAACAGAAATTGCTCTTTCGAACTCAGCGGGTCAGTCCCATCAGCGGGAGAAAGATCCTTACCTGCTGCATTGTGGCATGTATGCTCCGCCAATAGATTTGATGCCTCGACACTAAGTCCAAACTTCCGCTGAATTTCGGCCATACGTCCTTGCACAAATGTACGTATGTCCTGGCTGTTGTCTTCGCGTTTGAGTGCAAACTCTTCCGCCCATGATAACCATCTCCTTATATCAGGCTCCTCCTGACTGACAATGAGGACGCGTAGCTTTGAGGGGTTCCTGCCGTCAATTCGGGTGACCAAGGACGTAAGAAACGACAATGTCGACTTTCGTTCCTCGGGCCGGCATTCATCCAAACCATCGAGAACGATGTACTGGCGCTCGCCCTCTTCGCAAACGGTCTCGAATAGATTCTTTGCGGTCTTATCGAATGTCAATACAGCTTCGCCTCTCTGAAGCCGCTGTTCATTAAAGTACGGGACAAGAACCGGATACCAATATATCTGTTGAGCAAGAAGACCTTTCAAGAT